ACGCCACTTCTAATACAGTTCCTCCTCAACTTAATGGCCCAACGTTCTGCTTTTGCCATTCCTGCAACATGCGGCGAGACAAAATCGGGATGAAAAAAGAAACAGACCGAAGAACAGAGACAGCCAAGCACAAAAACCTGAGTGGATCCCTCCCCAAAGTGTCCCTGGGTGACTAAAATAAACAGCAAAGCCACATTTCAAAATGTCAGGAGCAGTTTCCTCTGAGTTGCACTTTTATCAGGTGGACGCACTAAATATATGTATAAAGTTACATCGTATTTTAGGTGACGGTCTAAACAGGGCAATCTCCTCAAATGGACATGTCAACTTAGTAAAAAAAAAGTTTAAAAAAAAGTTTACTAAGCTAGCTAAAAGTTGTTGTAAAAGTATTGCAAGAAGTATTCCCTTATGGACCTCAAATGTAATTGCAAAAATCAGCACTGCGTCATATAACCAAATGTGAGTATAAATGAATATAATATAATAAAAATAGTATAATATAATAATTATTTTATTGCTGGTGTTTTATTACTTTGAAATACCTGTATCCTTTCTATGAGCATGGGTGCTTCTCCACAGATTTGACTTGTAACTTGGCCTTGTAAGTTTAATGCTGAATATTCTAGGCAAAGTTGAAGCCATGGAAACACGCAGGTGACGCACTCTCCACCAAAAGGTTACACAGTGCATCTTTAGATAAGTGGAAAAAGGGTGTATCAGGAAGACTGTACAAATACATTTACTGAAATTAATAAAATGATTATGAGAACTTCCTTTGTTTTTTCACTGCGTTGGCACTATGCACGAGGCTATGTCCAAACACCACACACGTTGTTGTGAAAAGGTGCAGAGAGGAAGAGGGCTTCGGAAAGAGGGATATAAACAAATGAACCATCAATAGTCCCGATCGCCTGGCTGAGCTCTCCCTGCTATTGTGTTGGTATTGGGAGCAGGGCCAAGCGCCATGCACTTAAAACAATAGAGGACTATGTAGCTTAGACACATGTGACAAAAAATACTGCGACCATCATACAGATAGTACAGATATGAGGAGCTTCAAAGCCATGCAATGTTTGACAGTTCATATAGCATGTGTCTCGTATTAAGTATTATAAACAAATTATCACTATCCACACTGGCTCATTGGACTGTGGCTGGGAGAGGAGGTCACAGCAGGACGGGGCACATTCAGAGTTGGGGGCATAAGTACTTGGGAGTGTTGTAAGTACTTGTAAATGTCAGCAGGACCAACCATTTCATTAGCACACTGACTATTAATCCTCCTTATGGCAATATATATTTGAAAAACATTTTAAGACGAGACATCGCAGGTGTATCGTTTTTGAATATATGTGTAAAATTTACCAAAATGAATAAATCTATGATGTATTTTCTGTTTTAGTGAGTGAGGTGAATTCAGTCCATATCAAAAAGGTGTAGAATTTACACTAACTGAAACTGTTTTTGGTCCAAATCCAAAAGTAATCACTGTGTCCTTGGCCTAATACAAACCTTTCTTAAAAATCTCATAACAAACATATAAAAACAGAATTAATTTTTAACATTTATTAAATCATTTTTCACACCAGAAAGACTACATATAATTTTCAAATACCATCTGGCACCTGTCTTCAACTCATTTTATAACGTAGCCATATGCAACAGTGACTTAAATGTTGCCAAATTTTTCCTTCTCTGTGCCATGATTTTAAAAACAGCTGACACAACTTTTCTTAATCAAAAACTGGTCTGATCTTTGAGTTTCTCTTTCTGAAATCCAAGGTGCTAGAACTTACGGTCATGCCTCATTCCCAGAAAAAGCGAAACATTGTGTGTCACTGCTAAAGAATGGCACTGCATAAGGTAGTATTATAATATTTATGAGTACATTGACCGAGGCCAACTTATGGAAACTAAATCTTTAAGCATTTTGGCACAGTCCCCAAACACACCCCACGATCTTGGCTCACTTATAGCAGAGAAATTCTTTTGTTCTTAGCGGTCTAATAATAGCACTAAAGCTTGCGTTATGTTTGAGTGGCTGTCTGTTTCTTAATGTGGTAATGTGTACGAGATGAAAGGGCATTTATAGTTTCCTACACTCCTGTGACAAAGTTTTATTTTGGTGGGGGCTTCCTGTCTTTCTGGTGTCCAGCTCAGATGCCTGTTTATTGGTCACTTCAGGGCATGCAGGAAGTGTGGTGGTGAGTGGTTTGGTCCGGCTCGAAAATAAATTAAGACGCACCTTTCTGGAATGCACTGTTTAGAAGATTTTGAGTGTGGTGTTCATAGGAATAAAGCAAATTATTGACCACTATTACAGGAAGGCTGCTACAAAGTTAGTTTTGCTTTTGTGCCAAGAAAAAAACATTGCCAAAGTAGAGCTTGGCAACATGAACAAATCAGTTTTTCCCCTTGTATTCAATAAATTGCCATTTTAAATTAGATGTTATGATCTCAAGATATGTACATGTTTACATACTTGTAATTTAACTCACAAAAATATTCAGATTTTATTCTGATTTCAGCTTCAAACCACACAGAGGACTGGCTATAGACGTGTAACTTTAAAATGTGCAGTTAATTCTAATGCATTAGCAATGACTAAACCCATCCATGAACCATTATATGCAAATTTGACTGTGCTTTGGTTAGGCCTGTTACAATGATTACTATATTTATGGGGGGGGAGGTCAGTATTTATTGTGTGTACATTTTCTTTGCTCTAATGGGAGATTTCTGGTTATTTTTTGGCTATACAGTAAGACTTAAGCCATAAAAGGTTGATTTAATAACTCATTACTCATGACTCATTAATGATGCAAACTCAGTAATAAAGTGTTTTATTCTGCTGTTTATTTATTGCAGCTGATATTTTTAACAATATTGTAGATTTAGAATCATTTTGTGGTTTAAATCTGCTCTTGAGTTATTGTGTCACTGGCATAAATTAGTTTCAGTATTATCCTTTATAGTATATTCTTACTTTATCATTATATCACACTTCAAAATTTGTTATCGTGACAGGCCAAGCTTTGGTGGCCATAGAAACCATTGGCACGTTTTGGCTGCCACATCCCTATTACTCTGCCCCTGGACAATTGTGGCATCTATGTACAAACCCATTATGGACCTATTTATTATTATCACATATTGCTCTTTTCACAAACAGTTTAAGTGTAATTACGCCCCTCGCTTTAACACCAATGAAAACAGTGCAGGGAGTACACATGAGTACATTTAGTTTGATTGTCAGTGCGAGATGAGGGCGGGGCTACTGAATTAAGCCTGGGTCATTTTCTACCTTTGTAACACACACCCAGCTCAATTACTATCAGGCTTACGGTAATATGGGTAATCATTAGGAACACATAATGACATTTCATTTAGCAGCAAATCAGCCACTGACACAACACAAGTGGCCGAGGTAATTGAATTAAAATGAGGCTGTGGGGAGAGAGGGGAGTGGAAATGATCATTCAGAGTTAACAGGCAAAATGCATGCAATTATAAGCTGTGACCACACCTATACAATGATCCACTATTCAACAACACAAAAATGTCATTATCTGGGAACAGTGCTTGCTAAATGTCAACATGTGTGCTTCAAGTGCTCTTATGTTTTGTAAATGCGCCAAATGTATTATTATATTCACCCCTTTTGAAAGCTGGAGAGATGTGCATTCATAACTGGGCTAGTGAGAGCCCAGACAAAAGATTGAGGCAAAATAGAATAAAACATGGTGCGACTCAGTCTAATCAAATGGTTTCATGTGGCACAATGATGAACACACGCGCTCAGCAATTAGAGCTGCAAGTGAGCAAATATACTGACAAAACTTAACCCATATGTGATGATAAAGGCTTATTTCTACCAATGATTTGTCTGACATTTGTATTAAAGCTGGAATGTTCCAAATTATGGTAATATTTTTTTGGTAGTAATTTTTTTGCCTCTCGAGTAACTTTGGCTTGCTCGTCACTTGCTTGTCTCCATGGTGATACTCTGGGTTAATGCCATACTGTGTAATATTCTAATCTAGACAAAGCAATAACATCTCCATGGAAACAAGGGTGGTGGACTACCATTAGAAAAGCTACATTTAATACACAAATGCGTTGTAATATTAAGATGCGAGTTTACTTGTTGGGAATATTACATTCTATTCAGTTCACATAAAAGCCATCAGAGGTTGCTGAGCCTCAAGCTTCTCGTCAAAGTTTTCACAACCGATCGCCGGAACGCGTCAGCCTCTGTAACAAATGCCTGTTCTTTGCATTTTGATCAGGCACTGGGACAGACAGATGTGTCAGGCCAGGCCCTCCAGCCCACACCAGCCACCGCTCTCTGAATTAATGTTGAGCCAGAGCATAAAAGGGAAGATTAAAGGGGAGTTGGTGAAAAAGGACTGAGCTGATGACGGTAACAAAGTGTCCAAAGTGCTGTCAATTGTGGATGACAACACAGAGCACAATTCAAACAAAAGTGGAATTTTTAAAGATCTGCAGTGCAAATAAAACTCCAAATTTAAACAGTCCTGCAAACAATAAGAGCTGTATCAAATGATCAAACTTTGATCTTTTATAGATGCTGGTGTCATTCTGGTACAAGAGTCACCAAACAGGCAGACACAGTCTGTCCCAGGGCAGCTGTGGTTTGAGTGAGTAAAAGGTGTAGTCTAGGTGTCTCCATGGAGATGTTATTCCTTTGCCTAAAATTTTCAGCATGGCATTAATTGTTGATCGTCCACAGACACAAGCAGACGACCGCACCAGTTTTTCAAGGTACTTTTGTAATGTAATAAACACTAGGTAGATACTGTGGAACATACTAAGCATGGCAAGGCATGGAGACAACTTTACCCACCAGAAAAGTTACATAGTAAGCAACTTTTCGTGTCTCATAAAGCAGAACATAAAACAAATCTATTGTTCCCTATTTTTTTTTTTTTTACCAAGCTGCACTATGTTATAACCATGATTAAAAAATGCGAGCCTACCTTGAGTTCTCTGAAGAAGATGCTGCTCCTCGCCCACTCGACGATAGAGAAGAGCGTCTGGTCAGCCATCTTGCACATGAGACCAAAGGTGTTGAGCTTCTCGTGCTTGCCGCGGCTGGCCTGCTCCTGCTGCAGGTAGGCCAGGATCTTCGCCTGCACCTGGGGCTCATCCGGTTCACACTTGAGCAACTCCACGATGAGGTGGGGGAAGCTGGGGGGCGAGCCGGACTGGTATGCGTCTACGTAGGCATACCCCATGATGGACTCCGGTGAGCTGGTGTACGGGTCGGGGTATTCAGATTTGATGCGCGTGCTTTGGAAGTGTCCATATGCCGTTTGGTAACCTTGGAGGCTACCAGCGTGGGGGGGCATGGCCATACTGACAGGCGAGGTGACGAAGGGGGAGCGGTCGTAGTCTGTGGGGGGCAGGGCGGTGGCGTGGTGATGGTGGTGGTGATGATGGTGGTGGTGGCCCGTGTGGTGGCCTCCGTGGTGGGTGAGGGGCAGGCCCTTAGAGGCAGCAGAGTGGATGTTCTGGATGGCGGAGGAGATGGTGAGGTCAGTGGGCACGGCCTGCATCACCTGGCTCATGGCTTCGATCTTCAGGCCGTTGGCGCGGATCAGGGCCTTCTTCTGCTGCTTGAGGGCCCGGTCGCGCTTGTACATGGGGCCAAACTTGTTCCGGCCTCCACGCATGCGATCTGCCCGCACAGCTAAGGTACAAGACACAGAAAACACCAAGTTACAAATCAGGAAGTGACTTACATCTGGTTTATTTTACTACTAGGTGTTGCACATGGAAAAAACAAATAACACTCCATAGCGCTTATTGAAGCAAAGAACATTTAGTTGGACATGAGTATGAAGCGGTCAAAGAAGTTTCAAATGTTTTTCTAACATAGTCTAGACAACTAAATGAGGAGTCTCTACATATTGTCAATTGTTACAGTATATTTTGAATGGGAAAAAGTTCTCAATATTGTGCACACATAGCAAAAGTTATTATTTAACACCCTAAAACTACAATTTGTTCACAGTGCAATTTGATTTTTTATGGCCAAACAGCCAGGATTATGGAAGAGAGCACTATAGGTAATAAAATATTGAGAGCAAAGGTTTAACTCCTTCACTGTGCTACTCTACAGATAGCCCAGTTACTCATTGACCCAATACATTCATTTAACTCTACTAATCCCAATAGAGCTAGCTATTACTCTCCAAGATCCACAGAGTTTGCCATGAAAACCTATAGCTTCAAATTACATGTTGTTTATTTTATCTGTGATTATGCCAGAGCTTGGACACGCAACTCTTTGTAACTCTTAACCTGAGACGTCTAAGAAAAGCTGACAATATGAGGACATAATAAAACATATCAAACATAGGCCCCACACTGCAGGAGTCCCCAAATGGCCCCCTTCTGGATCAGCGCGAGCTTCTAGTGGGTATTTCTAATGAAGAGGGGGCACACGCCGGCACATGAGGAAGGGGGAGGGAGGGGGAGAGGGAGGGTGTGTGTGATGTGTCCGACTACTGCCACGGGGGAAGCCGCTCTGCTCTCTCTCCCAGTCGGGGGGCCATCGTGTTAATTATTCATACTTAATTACCTCTTACACTGATGAGGCCAGCCAAAGCCAGAGCGTTCAACAGAGAGCAGACGTCAGGGAGCAACGCAACAAGAATAGATTCATTATCATTTGTGCATACAGGCAGAATTATTGTATTTGTAGAATCGTGTCATACAGTGGTGGCCAATGTTACTATTGTTTATTTTATAAATTTAATAAAGTTAAAAAAAAAAAAAAAAAAAAACTGTGGATCTAATCATTGTTAAGTTACTACTGGTTACTGTTGTGGAATAAATTGTAGTAGCTCGATAGATGAAGAGAGGGTGGAGGCTAACGCAGGAGAAGTTAATTGACCAGTCTACTACAGTCCAGTCTGGCTATACTTCCTTTGAACCTTTGAAGGTAGTATTATACTTCTGATGATGCAGGTTATGATGACATGGAGAGCAGGTAGCTGGCTCTCAGTACAGGGCAGAAATAGAGTTTCTCTAATTTACTATCTATTTTATTACAGCTTTATTACAGTTTAATTGTTTAATTGTGCTTTTAGAATGTGATGATACTTGTCGTATAGAGATTTTATAACACTTATTACAACTAATTGACCTAAATAAAGCAGAAAAAGAGTTCATTCAAAAGTCATTCATAGTTTTTTAAAAAGATTCAAGTTTAGTAACTACTAAGCTAATAACCCTAACATAAGTGGTTACTAGGTCTGACTATTAATAAACTATTTGGTCATTGTGAATTAAGTCTTTCTTCATGCTTTATAAAGTAAAGTTTAACCAAACCATGTTGGTGATGGATATTTTATAGTTCATTTCAAATTGAATGAACATCTCTGCCAAATTTTGTAATACAGATGGAGTGGAAACCATGGCAGTGTCAGCTTCAAGTCATTCCACCTCATGTTGCATCGACAGGCAAAAGGACTTAAGAGGAGAATCTGGGGATGGGGTGCAAAAAGAGGGCTCAGTGACGCCTTGGGAGCAATTTTAATGACCATCATCGCAAAAGTGTCTGTCACTGATGTGGGCAAAAGGAGCCGAGAGATTTGAACATTTTTAAGCAGACTGTGTAGTGTATATAAAATCATCTACAACTATATCTGCAACTGCACAATGTATTCTAAAGAGTCACAATGTCTTTATGATGACAGAAAAATACTAAAAAGTCTAAATCTGGTTGACGATCAAATCTATTTATAATACGATATAACATAATATAATTTCAGTATTAATTATTTATGCATAACAGGGTAATTAATGAGCGTAGAATGTAATAGTCAATCCAACTGGGAGGACAAAATTAGGGGCTGACTCCACTCCACTGCATCGGACCCAGGGACCCACACATCATAAACAGCAGAAATGGGGGAGGGAGGGGCCAAGAGGGTCTTTGTCTCTAATTAAACAAGGTGATTTGCATGTAACACAAATGAACACGAGGGGGGTCTGGAGAGGGGAGGGGCAGGTAGAGAATGATGGAGGGACGTGACATTTTTAGATAAAATGAAATATGCATTAGGTTGAACTGTGTAACTTACAAAGATTAGAGCAGAGATCAGAAGTCTAAATGTCAAGCTTCTAGACATATATGCTGCTCATACATTAGTTTGATGGTAGCAGAGTGGTTAGCTTTTCTGTTTCTTATCAACAAGGAAAGCAGTCGTGACACTGGAATGTATAAAGGGGTTTTACAGTTGAAAATGCAAAAAAGATTAACATAATAAAAACACAATAAAAGTCTACAAAAGTGTCATAAGGAGCTGGTAAGAAGTCCTTCATTTATATAGACTGTTATAAAATCTAAACCTGACCATTTTCTTTAAAAATCCTACACCAAGTTGGGCCAAAAAAGTCAAAAAAAAAAAAAAAAAAAAAACCTCCGGAAAAAATCATAACAAAAACAACACTTCCTCTTCCCTCGCTGCAGTGAAAATGGGATCTTTGGGGTTAGCGCTGCGGCTAAGGGGCTTCTGCCATATTGAAAAGGGCTGAAAGGCTAAAAGGCTGTCGGAGTCTCCCATTCTGAATTCCCCCTGGCTAACCCTGCTCCTCTGCGCTGCACAACCATCCATAAATTTACAAAACTGACCCGGACCAAACCCTTCCCTCCTAAAAAAAAATACCCCCCACGCTGCCCCCTACCCCAGCCACACACAAGCCCTCCGAGCTCCCCTCTTACTCTCTGATTTATGGTTGTTTAATATACAGGAATATTAAGTGCGAGTAGGTGAGCATCCCTGTCTAGCTAGGGGCATATTAATGGGCTCGGCGAAGGCTTGCTGACACCCTGTTTGTCATGTCGTGGCTGGGGCCTTTGCTCCGGATGCGCCCCTATCCAATGCACACACATGAATACCTATGATACCTATGCATAAGTAATGGGACAGGCCCGCGCCCGCTCTTCCAGGCTACTGCGAGGAAGCTGATGGAAGACGGATCAGAGAAAGAGGGATGGAGACAGTCACGGAAATAAAAGAGTACAGCGGTGGAGTGTGGGAGATGTAGGAGAAAAATAATAAATATAAACAGTGTGATTTTACATGTAGATCAATGATATGTTGTGATTTCAGATGTCATGTGTTATTAAAGGGGAAGTCAAATGCATTTGTATTGAGGTAAAAAACAGGTTTGAGTGAATTATTGCGTAGGTGGGGTTCTTTTAGTGATGGTGCCTTCTGTTGCAAGTACAAGCGCAACTAAAGATGATTTTTAAGTTGATTTGGCAGTTTAATGAAAAAATGTACTACAACTTGAAAGCGTATAGTTAAATATTTTGTTAATTTTGTAGTACGAAATTTTGATAATGAGATGTGGAAGAGAAGTGGAGTTATCAGAATCAAAAATAACTTGAAATTTGTCCTGTAATTTTTATGGAATCTTGTTGAATTGGAGCTCTGTAACACATTAAAATTCCAGATAACATAATTTTGTCAAAAGAAAACACACAGAAATAACTGCCTGCACAATTCTTACAGCTGGTTATTCTTCCTGTACCCACAAGTGAGAGAGATATTAAGCAGCTCAGTGAACCATTTGATGCGGGGCAACTTGTAGCGAGCATAAAAAGAGAGTGAGACCAGAGGGAGCACTTCTGATATGGCACGCTTCATCAGCTTCTGTGAATGACCTGCTAATAGTCCACACCACTGGGGTTTATATTATTCTATCTCAGTTCACATTGAATGAAGCATAATTTTACACTGCAGTAGCTATATAATGTGTGTGTTAGAGTGCAAACACATGGGACTGAATATAAACTTTAAGACTCATTATATAGGACTACTTTTTAGGGTAAAAGTGCATGTTATTTGGTTGCCTGGACAATCAAGGCTACATGCTTGGCTACATCCTGCGCTTTAAAAGGACATATAGTCTGGAACTCTATATAGTTTGGTCTCTATGGGCATGATTGACAGGTGGACAAACCAACCAGAGAAGCGCATATCTGTTAGTGTTAACTGATGACTAACAAGGTAAAATGAAGGGGGAAAATAACAGAGAACCAAAAACACTTCCACATTTTACTTTGACTCTGGTGCCAGACCGTCTTGCATTCAAACAAAGTAGGAGGACGAGATTGCTAGCCAAATAATTTTGTAGTGGAAACTCGTGGGTAGTAGTGGAAGAATAAATGCTGGAAGCATTTGAAGGAGTGACAGATGTAGTTGTAATCTTTCTAGTAAGTGAGTCTGTTTTTCAATAACTGTTTGCACACGTTTGTACCCCAGTTGTACCCCAGTCCATAAAACGTATTAAATAACATAGACTGACTCTGCTGTTCTACATGTTTTTATTTTATTTTTTTGTAATGCCATGTCATGTTTGTAGATGATAATGATACTGACCCTTGCTCTGAGTCAAATTTCTCCACGATTAGATGAAATAAATTAAAATCTGAACTCACGTAACACTGTTATTAGGGATCAATAATTAACAAATAAGCTTACATTGAGCTGGCCTATCTGACTTTGACTGATAGTTCCATTGTCCAAAGTGATCAGTATATTAATAGCCTTTTACTATTGTCTGCTACATGTGCAAGATGCCAGTGGAGCGTCTGCCACTTCACCTCGTATGACTGGGGCCTGTCTGCCAATGATGAAACAACACAAACAGATAAATACGAGTTCACTGCACCACAGCCACTGCCAACAGAGCTGTGCACACTGGGTATAGCACCGTGTCATATTTTACTGTTAACATTAGTGTCAGTAAGAAAGTAAGAAACATTTAGTTGCCACGTCTTACACAACGAAACCGAATCTGTATGTTTAGTGGCGCTGTTCAACAATGTTAACAGCTATAAATCATGTAAAACATTTGTGGGTAATTCTCTGCAAACACAGGTATAGCCACTCAAACGGAAATGAGGAATAAAAACCTGCAAGGTTTAAACAAAAAGAAGTAGTAGACAAAAAAGCAGGAGGCAGTTTGCTTCATATATGCCATACGCAGTCGCTTACTTAACAGTTTAACAAGTATCTATAGTATTATAAGTACATTGCTAAAAAGAGATGGACTGTACATTTTAACATGATGATCTTTATGCATTACTTGTTTCGGCCACTTTTAATATCATGTTATGTGAGCAACTCTATAAAACCACATACTAAAGAAATGATCAAGTTTATTATCTATATGCACATGTTTAGATCAGATATCAGTCTTTTAAACCTAAAATCCCTACTGCACACCTCTACTGAACAAGAAACCCTCACCAGTTTAGCTTTATGCACTCCTTGGCCCCCGCATGGACATCTTGCAATAACAAAACGCTCAACCTAGGCCTCCTTTTTCTTCACACATACATTTCTAGATCAAATGACAGTGCAGTGCCTTTAGCCCATGGCCTTCTGCGCACCTTTAAAGTTTTCTCATGCATATATACATGTGTTTACCCAGGGAGAACCATGCATATATGTGTGTGAGTATCTGTATGTGTGTGTGTGTGTGTGTGTGTGTGCGTTTGTGGGGCTGGAAGTGTCATCTTTTCCGCGCTGGAGGTCTGGTAGAATGGAGGTGGCAGCAGCCGCCCAGTGGCCCAGGATGGAGAGCCGCTGCAGGGCTTGTCGTGCCCCGGAGCTACCCACCAGTGGAGCCAAAACATCTCAAACAGCGGGCACGCATACCCCTCCCCTGCTCCTGCCCCCCCTCCTCTCATCTACCTGCCCGTGTGAGAGGAGGGGGGGTGACAGGCTGAGGCATGGTGCCCGCCGGCCATTCACAATTAACAGCAATTAATTATACTACGCACTAGGAAGATATGAAAAGAGAGAGGGAGGGAGAGAGATTGGAGTGAGTTTGTTGCAAGTGCCCAAGTGACAGTTTGGGCATACACTGTACAAAAAGTTGAACTGACATGTAAATGTATAAAAATAAGAAACGACTCCTAGAAGACGTAAAATATCGTGGATAAAAACAATTAATTTAAAAGGATTACAGGTCTGAACTCATGCTTCTTAGTTCAGGGGTAAAAGCACTTTCTGTATAGTTGCAATATACATGCCGTATTTGTAATGAATTATAATCTACATTTTTAAAAAGTTTAGAATTCCACCTGCAACAATAAAAATAACTGATGAATACTTAACTAAAAGTCTGTAAGATTTCAAATTCAACAAAACGCCCTAAGATTTGTCATAATCACCTTGTCAACCCAAGTTGATTTTAAATATTATCTTTGTACACTGGGAGTGGGCTGCCCTGTCACTTCGGCATTGGCTCTGTTTTAACAAGCTCCTGATCCAGATTCAAATAAAACAAAGAAAATCCCGAGACAGTACGCCAAAAGTATCATCATTACCATTCTCAACTCAACGCCAGTGTGAATATTTTATCTATTACTCCATCTGGACTACCAAGTCTACTGACCCTGTACATCTTAGTATTATGACATTACTGTGATTTGCACCTTCAAATAGTAATCCATACTTTTGTAAGGCAATCAAGTATTTGACATTCTTCATGGCAAGTTTTAAGAAATCAATTCACGACAAAGAGTCCATTCATTCAGTTTAAATGAGAACATTACTAATCAGCATGAAGTCCTAAAAGAAAGTTACAAATGTGAGGTATGTTAAAATATGTTATTAAAATGTGTATTCACGTCTATAGAAACATGTTTACTTTTCTAATGTTTTTAGACATTATGGCATATTCGGAAGCAAACAGATTACGTTAATTAGTAATAATTGTGTCTGTGTTTGGGAGATGGCCAGTATTTAGTTATAATGTATATAAAAATGTATATAAAATTCATAATAATTAATAAAATAATTTTTTGTCTAGTTGAGATTATGTGTTTTTGCCCAGTAGAAAAAAAATGGAGTTACTGATACATTCATGTCACATTTACAACAAAACCTAGAAGGATTTTGCTTGCGTGTGTCCCATAAAGAAAGAGTCTGGACTACATCTATTACAACTATAGTGTCACATGTTAACAACAACCGCATGCTACTTTTTTGCAATCCCCAGTGTTTTCATATTGTTTTGAGTTGTCAATTTCTTTCTATTATTCAAACTCTACATTCCACGTATCAATTGAACAATGTTATTGAGGCTCTTACACTTTTAAACACAGCACTACATGGAGCTATTTTGGAACAGCCACTGTAAATCATAGAAATACATTTATATAGACAGTTTTTAAGACAAATCATAATTTAGCCAAAGATTTATTCATCTACAATGGAAATGTTTTCTTGGTAGTTTGATTGCATACATATGATACTCCAAAAAATGCCAACAAAAGGTAAAAAGTGCAAATACGTAATGGTAAATTGTAATACCAAGGTCAGATTTCAAAACACATACCAACATAATATTTGGAAACCAACTAAACAAAACAAAAAGAAAGTTGGGCAGTCAGTGTGAATTAAACTGAATAACATTTCTGTGTTTTCATAAACTTGATAAACATGAATAATCTCTTCTTACAATAGCCATAATTCAAAAAGTTGATAGCGTGAAATCCCCAAATTGTCACAGATACACACGATTTGCCTGTAAGCATGTAAATACACAAGAAGCAAAAACAGAACCAGATGCCCTACCTTCTAGCTTCATGCCGACGGTGAGGCACTTCTGGAAGCGGCAGTAGGGGCAGCGTTTGCGTTGGGTCTTGTCGATCTGGCAGCTCTGGTTTTCGATGCATGTGTAGCGCTTGTTGTTCTGGACGGTGCGCTTGAAGAAACCCTGTGGAGAGAGGCCAATTAAGATGTCAAGACCCGCTCTGACCCCCACGCTCAGCTAGCTAATGGCTCTATTCACTCACACACACAGACACTTATAGATACAAGTACAAGGTTTGATGGTTAGGTTACATGGTAAGGCTGCACGATTTTGGGAGGAAAACATGCAGTATTTGAGAATGCCAATGTTTTTTGTCTATTTTGAAATACTCACTAATACTATCCATTACTCTTGAAAATTAAGGGCTCAAGATCACGATGAAGGTGTGTGTTTCAGCATATACATTCTGTTTTTGCATACTTTTCTACATTATAGGTAGTTCTCAAAATATATAGGCTACTGTATATTTTAAAGTACATAGTCACGTGTTTTTTTTATTTACTGTATTTAGTATAAAGCTTATTAATCAAAACGGACAAATTTGGACTACAAACATGATTCTTCTGTCCATAACATTTTAACAAGTTCCACCATAAAAACTGTTAAAAAGTTTAAAAAGAACACCATGGCAACTGTTCCTCCAGAAGCAATAGTACGAGATATTTTTTTTACAACCTGTCACGTTGCATTTTGCTCACTCGCCAGCAAACAAGCGTAAACAACCAAAAGTAGACTTGATCAGATTCAAGATGCACATTGATGAAGTATGTTGTGCATTCATGTATTGGGACTAAAATTTAACAGGAAAGACTCTGTTTTACTCACTGCTTAATTATTTAAAAATATGAGCACCACAGTCCACAAAATCCAATAATTTCTATCCATAATTCACAGTTCCGGGATTACACAGATTCATGCTTGCAACATGGAATTAATTATTGGCAGCTGCAGTGAAAATCAAATGAAGGGAAGATAGTATTAACGTATGCTAGATCCATAACCTGGGAGGAGAATTCCTAAACCTGTCTTTTAAAAATAAAAATATTAAAATGGAGGGCTGTCAATATCGCACCAAACACTAATTTAATTGACAATCTGCATCGCTTGATCCGTCCAAAAAGAGGGAAAAGAACAGTTTTGGACTCTGGTTTGCCTCAGAGAGAACTTTCAATTCATGTTCCTATTTATGACACGGTATTCACTATAAATATCTGAAGCAATATGCGATCTGAGCTGCCTTACAAATCCAAAGAGTTTGCCTGGTAATAAAACTAAATAGGTGCACATTTTTGCCAGTATGGGTGCATTCTGCCTTGCCTATTCATTTCTATATTAAAAAGTCTGCAAAACATGTATTGAATCAGTTCAAATCACAAAGCAGCATTGTCCAACTAAATCTTTTAAGATAATATTAGAATATCTAGACATCGCTGACCTCAAATTCCATCAAAGAACTTTTCAACAGTTGGACAATAGATTAAAAAATGAATAATACACTTTTCTTTTGCCTAACCCAAAATGACTTCTTATTGAAATAGGCTTATTATAACTTTTGAAATAGGTCCAGTCCGTGTCAAAACTAAATGATGAAAAAGGTTTTTGTTAGCTAAAGAGTTTCCAGTGTTCCACATCATCAGAACTGAGAGCTCCCTTGTTACTTCGAAAGACTACAGTCCCCTATGCATGTGTAGAAATAAAAGGCTATGGCATTTTATGAGTGCCAGCGTGTCATTTAGATCAAAACAGGACTACTTGTGATGTCTTTTACTCAAAGTATTTCACAGTTACAGATGCGCATAATGTTGTTTTGAAACATGAAAACCGAATAGGATTTTTGCTTTGCTTGGTGAAGTTTTAGTGGCCAGGGACTTCCTCACCTGCAGATCTATTGCACTGCCTTGCTGATTGCAGATATTTAATGCTTATGTGCCCACGTCAACAATCAATAGCTCCCACTCATTCAAAAGGCTGTATGCATTTTAGAGGCGATCGATGAAGAGCTTCAGGTAATTATCAATAGTATTAATTCTTTAATAGGCATATGCAGTACTTGATAGGAGACCTCTTCATCGGGCTCTCTGTGTGAGGGCTCTAACTGCACAGGGAAATGTGTGCCGCACTAACAAGGCTCAGAGGCAGCGGAGATGCCACTGACGTTTGCCTGCAAGCAGCGCTTAGCATCTCAAGGTCATAATATGGGATCAAATCTATAACATCTGCTTTGAATAATGACCACATAGGCAAGAAATGTGCAGCACGGCATCAATACGAGGAGCTGCAATTTTGACTCTCAATAGTGTTAACACACAGACATTTGTCTTAGCTTAATTTTCTGCTGACAGCTTTACGGAACTAAGAAAACAGCTATTAGCCTGGCGCTGAGGGGGCTGGGGCAGAGAGGTGTGGCATAAATAAGTTGTTGATGGAGCGCAGATTAATAGTTGGGCTTTGTGTCGCGTCATTATGAAGAGCACAGCACCTCAGTCAGTTCATAATGAACTGGTGATGAGTGGATCACAGTGGAGCAGGCTGAGCAAACACTGAGCAGCAATAACCTCTGCTGCAAAGGACAAAGTATGTCCTATGGAAAAAAAGGTTCTGCTATTGACATGTTCTGACTCCTCAGAACATGTTTAACTATTGGGATCTCTAAAGTAAGGAAATGAAAGTTTTGTTGCTTTAAAAAATGCAGGCGTTGAAAACAAATTGGCATTTCTACATATAGGCCGAATAAACAATTCAAATGCATTTTGCTCATATGTTTTTACTAACTAAAACTGTTATCCAAAACTGACAGTGACACATTTTAAAAGAGTGTTTTACTACTGTAAATGCTCTATTATTAAAACTGTTAATTAAAACCCCTGCAAAATTTTAATTCAAACTTGTTGTAAATTATTGATTTAAAAAGACAATACAGCTTTTTGATACAGTGCCCTTCACGCAAATAACTAGTCCGTGGCCTGTTTTAGACTCTCATTCTTTTCTCTCTTGACAGCAGAGCACAGACAGCGCACAGTCACCCGCGGACACAGCGCTGCACAGGCACAGCGCGCACTCACCTTGCAGCTCTCGCAGGTTAGAAGTCCGTAGTGGTAGCCCGAAACCTTGTCTCCGCACACGGGACACATCTCGTCCAAATCTTCGTCATACGTGTAGTCCATCATTTTTAATTGGGGCGCTGGAATTAACACAGAGAAGAAAGAAAGTCTGTTTAGAATCTTTTGCCCCCAAGCGCACTTCATACATCAAAAAGATCAACAAGAAAGTATAGGTTCGCATATAAGTTTTACAATTAAATACTGATTTTGGACGTTAAAAGAGAGCGTTTTTCCTGAATAGACCTCTATATTAGTCGCAAATAAATACATAAAATAAAATAAACGAAGATAAAAAAAATCGAATGAATATGCATACCTTTAAGTCGTAAAATGGCAAACACAAAAGAGGAGAAATTAAAGTTACGGATTGGAGGGGAGAATGTTACCGCCCACAGACAAATGAAGAGCCACAGACAACTCTTATCTCTGCTGGCGAGTAAAAAAACTAAATCAGGGGGAGTGGAGAAAATCCTCCTTCAATTAGACAGTTTTACCCAACTCTTCAATTCATTAAAAATATTGTGTTATATGAAAAGGCTTTATACATGCTACGCCCTATTAAATGTTATTACATTTTTGAAGCAGTAACAGCGCAGAGAAAACAACCAGATCCACATTTAGTGTCAAAGTGTTTATGACTGTAATGGTATAAAAAGAAGCCAAGATCAAGCATCTCGCGGACATATTTCAGACACGTTAATCCAAGGCCTTGTAGACACTTTTACGCATCAGTTCCACACGCTCTGAGTCTTAGTGTGAGATTTTAATTGGAGGTGATTCCTGGTTTGTTATAGTGGCTCTCCCGATGCAGCTGGAGCAACAAGTCCCCCTGCGTCTCTCCCGTGGTCTCCCTCCACACTCCTTTTTCCGCAAAGCAAACTTTATTTCCGAACTTTCCGCTGCTTTGATGCGCCCAGCGGCTCGGTACGCACAGGAAACAATTTGTGAAAATAAATTTTACGTCAACAAATAATCAAGTTTTCAGTTTTAACTGACAGATGCAAATGTTTTTAGACCACCACTAACATGTGTTTGGGATATGTTGTGTTGTCCAATATTGTTATTTTTCTATACGTTGATATTTTGGCACTCACACTAGGAAGAGTCTATATTTAAATAAATTGTCCGCTGCGTGCCCGAAAGTGTCGCATGTAAAGCTACCTTGTTTTAGAGCCGGTGTGTAAAGCCAGATAACGGTGAGTCCCGCTCTTGTTTGACTGTGTTATCAGCGCCATAAAGCGCAGCGGGCTAATTGATCAGCCCGGCGTATTGACATGAACTACAACCAGTGGAATTACAGCGTCATGTGGGCTTCTTGAGAACGTGAAAAAGATTCAGAAATAAACCTTTCTGCACTGCCAGAGATAAATCTCTTTTTACACTAAAAACATTAATTGTGTATTTAAAAAAAACTTTTACTGCAATCATAGGCCAATAACAGCAAATAACAACAATAAAATAAACATCAAATGATCGATTAAAAAGGGAGAATGAATGAGAGTTGTTTTTTATTTGCATTCTTTGAAAAGGCACACTTGTCACAGAGTAAGGCCTTTTCCTTTATTAAATACAAATGCGTAATTTTAGGATTGGTACTCGAAAAAGGTTTTTTACGCGCGAGGTCATGGCATTTGAATCACGATCTAGGCTGTAGGATAGGCCTAATGAATAAAAACATAAAAAAAATAAAAAAAATTATGGTCTTTGGAAATATTCCACTGAATTAAATGCCCTCCGCAAAAAAAAGTAAGTAGGCTATAATGTCAAGTTCATATACACTTTCAGAGAACTCTTCAACCTACTCATTAAAAATATTTTGACAAAGATTTAAAATTTTCGATCCACTCGGTCTGTCCCTTTTAACGCATTTTACGCGTGGCTATAAATGACAACAGCATTAAATCAAAGGCCATAATTTAAAACAATAATAAATAAACTATAATGATTTTAGTCTCTTGCCAAAGAGAAACTTCTAAAGTTATAAAACAATAAAGTCTTAAGTCAGCGACTGGTGTTTGGCCTATAGTTACACAATAATGAACATTCTCGGCAATCAATTTTAGAAATGTATCCAATCACAAAAGTTATGCCTATACAACCTATCATAAAAAGAAGTTTGGCCATTTTGTCTTACCTTGCATATTCCTGGGCATACGCCCGTGTTCTCCATACGATCGAGAGAGTCCCAGAGATTCAGTCTCGACTTTGGGCAGCATGTCAGCGCTGCCGGCCTGAGCTGGAGACTCCGCGCAGCTCGGCGCCTGGACGAGCAGTGAACGCGCTCTGCTAATAACCAACCCAGCAAAGTCCGCTCAGTGTCAATATCAACTTTTAGATACTTTTGTACTTTTGTTAGACGGACATGCGACTCAGCCAATAGGATCAGTCTTTTCCCTTCTCTACGACGAGAAGCGCGTGAAGCGCATACTTCTAACTTTAACGGAGGTCCCCGCTTGGAGTTCTACGTCTCGCATCAGAGCGGAAGTGCCGGTCTAAAAGCCGTAAGAAATAAAGTATCTACTCGCCGGTGCCGCGTTCCTCTGAACATAAAGTCGGCTTATCTGAATTGCCCGGACCGTTTGGAGATGTGGAGAGCTGCCCTGCTCCTCCGCCTCGCTGCTTTGTTTACGCTGCTTTCTCCAATAGGAGACGTATGCGATCCTGTGACATCACTGCATGTCACCCAATAAGAAGAGAACACTGGAATACATCGCCTCAATCCACTTCTGTCTTACTAAAAGGAAAAGGCTCAGCTGTTAAATGTCGTTAATGACCAAGTTTAACGCGCAGCGAGAAAAAGCGGAGATGCAGAGACTCTGGCACGGCACGTGCGAGAGAGAATTCAGATTAGCGGTATCTTATCTCGTGCATGTCTCAACCTAGAAGGCCTACAATTTCATGCACTGCGTCTATCGCCTGACTTACAGGATGAGACTATTACAAAAAGAAGAAGAAGAAGAAAAAAAAAAAGTAAAAAACTATACATGCCATAATCTACAGCGGGTGTGTGCTTACAGATATGGAAAACCTTTACAAAAAGCAAAATTGCTGCTTGTGGCCCATGGAGCAGTGACGAGCGATGCGGCCTCGGGCTGATTTTACTACAAATCCTCTATACATTATGCACCATCTCCTGAGGAGTTATCGCATAATGGGCAGTGTAGGGATCAATTAATGGCTGGTGTCAGATTCTGGCCTTTAGAGTCCTTTAAATAAACCAGATAAAACTAACAATTCACTCACGCGCTACTCAAAATAAAATCTGTATGCCATGCATTACACACCACGTTCCACAATTTATTCTATATCAGAGGCGAATAATTTAGCAAACGTGATTAGTTATGTTTCAAATGCCTGCCTTAATGTGGAAAAATAAGGTCCCCACGACATGAATCTTAATTATTAGATCAACAAGTTAGATAATGGATAAAATAGGTTGTGGTTAGGGTTTAGGTTAAGATTTGGCAAGTAATTATGGTTAAGGTTAGGGTTAGTCTCTAGTAAATTAGTGTAAGTCTCAGTAATGTTCCCAAGAAACACCCAAAATGTGTGTGTGTGTGTGTGTGTGTGTGCCTGTGTGTGTGTGCATGTGTGCCTGTGTGTGTGTGTGAGAGAGAGAGAGAGAGAGAGAGAGTCATGAGGAGGGAGCAGTTATAAAATGACACGGGCTGATAAGAGCTCCTCTGGTCCGATAGAACTGCTGGAATCATTAACCTGTATGCACAGTCCCACAGACGACATGAAGAGTGCCCTGTGAAGGCACTGGGGGCAAGGAGACATGAGACTCGAGAGCAAAGTCAGGTCAGGGGAACTAGGAGGGCAATGCTTCTGAGCAGTATCAGCTCTGAGGATGTTTATTCACCAACAAATGTACACATACAACAGGACATGGGGAATAAAATAAGTCAACACAATTTTATTGCATTAATAATTTGAATGGATTTTAATTACAGAAATATAGGAAAGTGAGAAGCATTAGCTAAAATCCATGCACCGAGATGTGAAGAATGTTTGGGTGGTAGCACATATGCCCAATGTTCTTCTCAGGGTGACTCATGGATTCAACATAGCTCATATAGCTAACACACATTTAAACAACATTAAAATGAGTGTATGTTGTTATTTCATTTAGTTTTGCTCTTCCAAAATCTAGACACCTCCTCAAGAGCCTTGTGTTTCATTTTCATTGTGTGCTGGATGCCCTTCCTACAGCAAGCTCCTCCATGTATTTGAGCTTGTGATCAGCACAGATAGTTCGCTGCTTCATACTCTCTGTGGTACTGACAAATAACCTCTACTTCACCTTGCAGTAAGATGCACTGACTACAACTACATGTTATCATGATGCTTTGACTTTCTACTAAGGCTTGGGTCACCTCCTGCCCCCTGCTTGTTTCCTGGGTTCTTGTCGTTCAGATGAGAGAAGGAAACCCTGTCTGTCAACAGCAACTGTTGACATTCATGGTGTGTAGATAAAGCCCTCAGGATCAAACAGGAATCAGCCGTTTGAGTGAAAATACAAGTTTGTGTGTTTGTGTGTGTACTTTTAGACATTTGCTACTTACAACCTGTCCTGCTATGAGAAAGAAATTTAATAATCAACAAGAAAATGTTCAAGCATGAATTTCTTTCCATTCAGTACCCAGTTGTCCCAGCAAGTTTATTATAAGTCAGCGGAAAATATTGTTAGTACTTGAATTACAGCATTTTAATGTGCAAAAGAGCATAAAATTTAATTGTTGATGGTTTGATTTTTAAGTATGGAACATAATATCCGCTGTTACTGTGTATTATGCGAACTTTGTGAATAGCAGCATGTCCGAATATGTTGTTTATGTTTGACCCCCTAAATATCAAAGGCTGTATACTCACGGAACTCTCATAGCAGTACTCTGGTTCCAAAATGACCCAGGTTGGATTCCTTCACCTTAGGGGGCTCTGTTTGTGGAGTATCTGTTTTACGGTGTTTCCCATCAACCCATAACGCATATGAATGCATACGCGTATGCTCATCATCTGCAGAAAGACTGCACTGTGGTTGTCCACTACCCCCAATTGCACCAGTCACACAGAAGGATGGGTCAAATACAAACACAAGGAAGCAATTAAAGCACAGGTATGTAACATTTTGCTAAATAAATTGACTTAAATATTTTTTTTTTTAAATTTACTTAATCATGTGGTTTTTTTCTACCAGACCAGGTAGCCAGGTCTGTGGAGCAGCATACACACTCGTTGTAAGTATGCCTGTTTTGTAAATATGTTTGAGTGATGAAAACACTAATAGTCAAATAAATTCTTTTACCTTTGCATGATTTTGGTAAAATTTTATTGGATAAACAACAGCGTGAATATTACAATAAATCTTACATATGAATTATCTAGAAATTATCTGGAAATAAGTGTATAGTATACAAAATGTGCTCGTAAGACTCTCAAATTATAGTTCTGGATAGACACAGTTGAAAGTATTAAGGTTTACTATACAGTCACTGGGGGTACAGGAGATGTTAAGTGTGGGATCTCAGTGAGATGAAATGCGAGGAAGTCCGCTCCTCACAAACACGCACACACATTTCTTGTACAAACACTTTGCCTCGCAGAATGTCCAGGAATATACGCTGTGGCGACTGACTCATCCAGGCTAACCGCTGCTCTGTCCGCACAGCAACACACTCCGGCCTGGCCAGCATGATAATTAATCTGCCGGAGTCTTGGTGCTCTTCCAAACCCTTCTTTAGCAGCAGACATATAATTGTTATATCTACTGTCAGCGGGTTGCAGCTTTGGGATTGGACTTCCTCTGCTTCCCTTTTTTCCCATGCTTCGGAATGGTCATCCAAGATCCAAGACATCATGATTTAAATATCCCAACTTAAAAGCATTTTGTAATCCTCAATATACATACCAGACATTGCAGTCCATTTCAGGTTGTCTCCAAAGGGACTTTTCTCATAGGAGCACATGTTTTTGTAATGGTGATCCAAGACATAAACTCTTGTTGTTCTTTCTCACTCCGTTGCTATCTTAACACTTGCATGTGTACGCTCCGCCAAAGTCCGACTGTTAGATCCATTAGTGGGTCATGTACCAGTCATTGTTCATTGCTTCCTATAAGCTTCTGTTTTCAAGAGCCAACATGGCTAACAATGGTGCTCAGGTGCTCAGGTTGAGAGAAAGCTAAACAAACTACAGAGGTCTAAATGCTACCATTTATGGATAACTTTTTATGTATTTGCTGTATATTTTATATTCACATGCCAAATTGCAAAGTGAAATTCTATGGAAATCATATGAAGGTATTTACAGACCTGACCTGTAACTTGGTCTGGTGGCGTCACCTGTTTGTCTTTGTGAAGACAGAAAACATTGCAACATTCCAGGCAAAGCAATAATCTATCTATGGAATCAACCAGGTGGTGGACACTCCACCAGAAAAGTTACATAGTGTAACACAGTGTAAGGCAAGAATATATATTTACCCCTGTGATGGTCCCACAGTCAAATTGTTCCCTTGTTGATTGTTCTTTTTACATGTGAATCCTGATTGTGTCTGGTACTGGCTGCTTAACACTGCATCTACAGCAGGCGACCTGGGGTCAGTGTGCGGTTGGCCGTAACAGTCTGTTTAGTGGAGAAACTGTAATAAAATGGACAGCTCTTTAACCTTATTGCATTGCAAATACTATGGTGCACTGGTGGACCAATGTGTCGCAAAGCGGTCAGTTGTGACAGACACATTGTATCCCCTCTGGCTGACCCCTGGACACTCTCTCTCTCTCTCTCTCACACACACACACACACACATTGTCCGCTAGGCACTAGAGCGTTGTGCCTTTACTCAGGCCCTGTCCCTTTCTCCAAACGTGCCGCTCCATTCACCACGGTAATGACATGAAACATCAGGCAGTCAGACCTGTGCACCTCCACTGCTAATTAGAAAGCATGAAGATGTCACCAATTTGTTATCTTATCTAAATACATATACCAGTGTTGTTTGGCCTGTTGATGTCAGCCTTTAATTATTCGCTAAAACTCTCCAGATTTTTGGCACAGGAACAGGGTCCAAGTTGTCAGTGCGTCTTACTTTTGCCTCTGAAGGGAAGTTGAAGGTTCAAAAATTACACTGCCCTAGCAGACCCAGCTGTCTGGTTGTGTAGCTTTGGTTACTTGTGCCAGTTTGATTTTCCCTATGTATGTATACACACACGCACACACACACGCACGCACACACGCACACGCACACACACGCACACATGCACACACACGCACACATATATATATATATATATATATATATATATATATATATATATATATATATATATATATATATATATATATATATATATATATATATATATATATATATATATATATATATATATATATATATATTTTATTATTATTATTATTTTTTTTTATCAGTGAACATCATC